CTCTTCACATTCTCTAGCTTGCTCCTTGTAATCGTGATTGAAGGTGCTACAGAGAGGCAGCCTTGAGAACCTGGAAATAAAATGACCCTGAAACACTGAAATCAACACAAAATAAATAATGGTTGCCTGGTCAAATAAAATTGAGAAATGATGTATTTCACAAAGTTAACCAGGTTGCTTTACTGCATGCACTCTCAGAACTGTTGATATGCTAATATGCCTTAAAAATCTGAAAAAAGAAATACTGTATACGCTTTTCACTAAACTTACTTGCTAACGGAATTATTCCTTCATGGCACAGTGTAACAGAGTAGACGCAGAGTAACATAACTCAGGAAAAGGAAAATACTCTGAATTGTTAGAGAAAGCTACTTTAAGAAGGCAGTGCTGATGGATCTTAAATGTCTGATATACAACAAAGAAAGGAATTTCTACTGTATGAGAAAGAGCTAATTCTGAGTACCATCTCTCCAGGCTGAGTTAGCTCTTCCTTTCTCTGTATTCCCATGGCACTCTGTCCCTAACAAGGCTGGGGCCCACAACCCAGAGTCCAATGGAATACACTATCCTTTGCTGGACTGCATCTAGTGAAGTACACTGAAAAGAATGAAGGCTTTAGAGCCAGAGAATGTTCAAACCTCAGCATCATCTTTCACCAGCTGTGCGCCACTGGTAAATGGAGGTAACACTTTCTTAGTACTGCACAAAAAGAAAAATGAGGTCAGCAGTAGTGCACAGGAGAGATGGCCAGGGAAATGAGGAATAAGGAGGAATGATCATCTAGATGCAATAAAATTTGATGTAGATGGAGGAAAAAAGTTAGGGTCACTTCTTGTCTAGAGGAAAAGAGGCATACCAGTGATGACAAAAAGTAGGGGTACCAATTCTGGAAGAAAGCCATCTATGAGTATGATGCAAAACTCCCAGCTACCTCGGCAATCTCTTTTTTCCATGCCCTTCTCCTCATTCCTAGTACCCCAAGCCAGGCCCTCACTGCTTCTGGCCCAATTCTTTTTTTTTTTCATTTTTTATTTTTTTTATTTTTTTAAGGCTGGTCAAGTGAAGCAGTGTGGCCTAATTCATCTTAAGTCTCCTGCTCCTCCTCCAGGGAGAGGTTCACCTTATTTCCCGACGCATTCTCCACTGCTGCCTGGGTTGACTTCTAAAGTTCATATCCAATTATCATGTGTCCCACACTCAGAAACTTTTAATGATTTTCCTCTGCACAGAGAACACCGAGATTCCGAAGCCTGGTATTCTAACCTCACTGAGGCCCCACAAGTTTTTCTAGACTTTCTACCAAATCCTCATCTTCTCAGTGCTTCACTCACATAGATCAAAATGCCCAGCATTTCCCCCACTTCCCGTCTTTATCCAGGGTGTTTCCTCTCCCTGTCGTA